TAATTTGTTAGACAGTTTTTTCTATTCCGACTAAATTAAATATTTAAAAGTTTCTGTGTCCAAAGCTTAACTCCATTGGCTCTCTTGGAGTCCCAGCTTTCCGAATTCCGTTTTAGGTTTAGGGACATCAAATCCACTTCTGTCCGCTTCGTTTTCCATGCTTTGTTAACAAATCGAAACAAAATGAGATTACAATCATATTTAATTTAAGTAGGTTATTGTCATAAGCTTAATAATGTATCTTGGTAAAGGTTTCCAAGTTTATAATTTTTTTAATTCTTTACTAATGCAGTCGTGAATTCCCTGAATTGCGGATAACTTTTGCCTCCGCAATTATTTAAGTGCGCGTGAATTTTTTCAAACGGAAGGTTTGAAATATTAGATTCTTTAAGAGTATAAACTGATTCATCGTATCTGTCATGATGTCTATCTGCCTTAGTCTTTTCAAATATTTTTCCAAAGAATCCCATCATAAAACACCTCTGCCTCTCTGTACTGGGTAGATTGTTGTTAAATTTTGTGTTTATATTAGAAATATCAAGTAGATGGTAAAGCGCTAACCAAAATTTGTCTAATCATCCCCACCAATAATTGATGACGTCACTTCAAAATTGTACATAGTAAAGGGGTTTTAAATTATATAAAATAACATAGTCCTACATATGTAGTTTATGACTCCGTGTTAAGTTTTTACCCGAAACCATGGTAGAAGGAGACATGGTATAGGCATCCGATGTACCAATTTAAAAATCGTCTGCGCATCTATTTGTGATGTCAGGTGGCATCAACGACCCTGTGAGCTTCGCTAAGGAAGTCTAGGGAATTTCAGCTTGAGTTGTCATCGCTCTGTCAAATAAGTATGTCAATTAGTTGTCGGCTAACGAAAGTTAATGAAATTAATAATTATAAAAATGTAATTATTGAAAGATGAACGGTCCAAAAATGTGATTTCGTATCAATTTCGATAAATGTGAGACATCAGCAAATGCAAATACCAATTTGCTCTTGTCACTTGGGTGTTGAAAAGAAATTTTTGACATATTTATGCTCAGTTCTTTCCACAAACCTAAATTCTGCGATCACATTACACATACGACTACAACAACTGAATAATCAGTTAATCACAAATAAATTTTTGCAATTTAAAGAATGTATTTTATCTGTTTATCGCGCTAATTTGATGCCACTTACGAGTAACGTCACACCCGATGCGTATGCCTATACCATGTCTCCTTCTACCATGCCCGAAACCCCCAAATTTTTGGAAAAAAAATTAAAATTATAAAACAACATTTTGCAATTTAATTTTGAATCTGCAAAACCGAATGCTTTGAAATCTTGCAAGTGTTTTAAAGTTATGACAAGTATGATAAATTTTTAATCAGAATATATTTATTTATCCTGTTTAAAATGTCGAAAATATGTATGATGGATCTGTACTTGTGATTTATCATTCCATTCATATTTTTTGGATTTTTACTTCCCGAGCGTAAGCAAAGGAAGTATTGTAATCGAGTCCGTCGGTCGACTCTCTACTTTTACGTTTTCTCGATCTTTCATGACCCCTAGAAGACGAAGAAATAGGTCTCCCATTTCCGTCTGTCTGTCCGACTGTCCGTCTGTCCGTCTGTCTGCCGTCCCGGATTTTTATTAGACAGATAATCTCCGAAAGTACTGGACCGATTGCTGTGAAATTTTGTACTTATATTAGGAATATCATGTAGATGATAAAACTCTAACCAAAATTTGTCTAATCATCCCCACCACTAATGCGATGACGTCATTTCAAAATTGTAAATAGTAAATGGGTTTTAAATTGTATAAAATAACATAGTTCTACACATGTAGTTTACGACTCCGAATTGAGTTTTTACCCGAAACGTCCAGATTTTTGGAAAAAAAAAATCAAAATTATAAAACAACATTTTGCAATTTAATTTTGAAACTGCTAACCCGAATGTTTAGAAATGTTCCAAATATTTTAAGGCTATAAAGAGCATCATAAATTTTTGGTCAAAATATATTTGGTTATCCCTCCAAAAATTTGATGACGTCAGCTCAAAAGTTTGCCGAATAAATCCTATCTAAAATGTACAAAATATGATGAGTCTGTACTTGTGATATATCACTCCATCCATATTTTTTTAATTTGCATATACCGGGTGACTCAAAAAAAAATGAATGCTTAAATATATTTTATTGGTTTACTCAGTAACTACAAAACCGAATGCTTTGAAATCTTGCAGATGTTTTAAGGTTATAAAGAGCATAATAAATTTTTAGTCAAAATATATTTGGTAATCTCCGAAATACTGATGACGTCAGCTCAAAAGCTTGCCGAATATATCCTATCTAGAATACACAAAATATGATGAGTGTGTACTTGGAATTTATCATTCCATTCATATTTTTTGAATTTGCATATACCGGGTGACTCAAAAAAATTAATGAATGCGTAAATTTATTTTATTGATTTACTCAGGAACTACAAAACCGAATGCTTTGAAATCTTGAAGATGTTTTAAAGTTATCATAAGCATGGTAAGTTTTTCATCAAAATGTATTTACTCATCCCCCCTAAAAACTTTATGACGTCACCACAAAATTTTGCTTAATAAATCCTATCTAAAATGTACAAAGATGAGTCTTTTCTTGTGATTTATCACTCCATTCATATTTTTTGGATTTGCGTATACAGGGTGACCCAAAAAAATTAATGATGCGTAAATGTATTTTATTGATTTAATCAGGAACTACAGAACCGAATGTTTTGTAATCTTGCAGATGTTTTAAGGCTATAAAGAGCATCATAAATCTTTGGTCAAAATATATTTGGTTATCCCCTCCAAAAACTTGATAACGTCAGCTCAAAAGTTTGCCGAATAAATCCTATCTAAAATGTACAAAATATGATGAGTCTGTACTTGTGATATATCACTCCATCCATATTTTTTTAATTTGCATATACCTGGTGATTAAAAAAAAATGTATGCTTAAATTTATTTTATTGATTTATTCAGGAACCACAAAACCGAATTCTTTGAAATCCACTGCGAAAAAAAAAACATAATAGGCATGCACTCGTTATGTTTCCGACATCGAGGGAAGTACTGTCTAAACTCTTTAGACCAATTTTTTATTTTTATCTCTGAATGAAGAAGTAGGTAAGATTTAAGTATGGCCAAGTTTCTCTCCTCACTAGCGGTAAGAATCTTCAATAATATAAAGGAAAACAAACTCTTACCCTTAAATATCTGCTTCCCTTTAAATTCCAAGTTTTGGTGGCAATATGATTTTGTATACTCCTATATTTTATCCGAAAATATGGAGAGCACCTATACAAAAAGTGTTTTTATTTTAAATCAACTGATATTTAGTTGTATATAAACATTAAAAGTTAATGCACCATTTATTTGCCTTTGTATTTTGGTTTATTCTAAAACGAACTCGTTCTCATAACTGCCACGTCAAAATAAACAACAATTAGAAAACAATAATTATACCCGTAAAATTACGGCCAACACAAACTTCTGCTGTTAAAATTCCATTTTGTTCCAGCTGCTTTTGCCGTAAAAACTTTCTGATATTGTTATCCATTCAGATTTCTTTGCTTTTTCTCACATTAATATCTTTTTACAGCAAGATATTATTATTGCAAGGGCGTACTATCTCAGTGGAATCTTTCAAGATATATATACATGACAATATTCAGTCCTTAGGTGTAAGTATGAATTTCTAGGCATTTCCTGAGTTTCAAAACAACAACTCTTCTTTACAAGAAACATATTGGAAACGTACGAAACCATTGTGGGTGTTGAAAATCCCCATAATTTTGTGGAAACCCCTTTACATTTAATCAAATTCGGAATGAGGATCACAATTCCTAGCAAGCATTTAATGGGTCTAGTTACTCTAGTTTTTTCAGACGACAGATTTTAGACGTATTTGTACAGCAACTGCACTATTATGAACTAACTTGTGACGAACGAAAAATTAAACATTAAATTTTCTACAACAATTTTTTGATGATGGAGTAATACAGACATAGTTACGAGTAGTTTCGTGTCCCGAGTGTGAAACAGATGTGTTTTTAGTTATTTAACCTGAATTCAAGTCATCAATAATCCTTCAGCACAGGCTTTTTGCTTTTGGACGGACATGAGACAGTCTAAGTGGTTCTTTTTTTTTGAAAATTTTAAACATAATAATTCTCAAAACTTTTGCTCAGATCACAAAATGCAAAATTACATAGTACGATCATTTTGAAAAGATTTTTCGTCGACTTGATAACATACGTTTTGTGAACAAATACCTACGGTTGAAAATTCCTTTTTAACAATGCTTAGAACTACAGAATCTGAATATTTCTATCGTAGCAATTTTTTGGTAGATATAATTTGATTTCTGTGCTTTAGTACGTTTGAAATAAATTAGGCAAGCTCGCAGTAGTACAATGGCGGGTACTGGAATTTATATTTCAATCATTCATTTCAACTGAAGTGGGCCAACCAATTTTGTACTCGGTGAAAAGAAAGTTTCGAATTTTATATACCATGTGTTATTACAAGTGAACAGTACTTTATTTTTTAAGTTTTATACCGCGTGTTGAAAAAAATTTGCTAAGATGAACAAAACAATAAAACATGTTTATAAATCAGGACAGTTATGGTAACTATAAATAGATTATGCCTGTGATATCCTTTAGGAAGGATATACTAAGGTACTGAAACTAAAAGGAAATCATGGACAGCCACCTAATTTTTAAAAACTGCATGCCTAATTCACTTTAAGGTAATAATTTTTCAAAAATAAAAAAAAAATTGTAAACACTCTTATTAATTCTGTACAGTGACGAAGGGGTTAGAAGTAAAATAACACCCCCTCCCCAATTACACTACTTATAGATGTAATTATAGAGGGCACTGGAGGGTTTTACTCTCAAGTACCTCAAGCCCCTTTGCTAATAACCACATTCTAAAAGTTGTACACATCAAGATCATAAGGTACTTCACAGGATCATTTCTGTAGTTGATCTTCACACACTCCACATTCAAATATGGTGTTGTCGCAGCCACGATGACGAGTGATAGTTTCGTCTCCTGAGCGTGAGGCAGATCTGTTTTCAGTTGCTGAAACTGAACTCGGGTCATCAGGCAATGCTTGTGTGACGAACATTCTTTTTTAAAATTTACAACCATAATTGCTTTATTCATTAAAAATAAAAGTGCTACATTAGATTCTTCTTAATACTTTTACAATTTTACTTTTTTTATAAATACACATTTTAATATTTTAAGTTAAATTGTTTTTGAAACACCAATTTTTTTTATAACATGATAAATCTTGTAGCGACTGTATTTTTTGAACTTAATATTGGAAATAAAAAATTTCGAAAATTTTTTTTATTAAAATGTGTTTAAATTTCGATCTTGAAAATTTTCTAATATATGAGTAAAATATAAAAATATATTGATTTAAGCACCAGATTTATTTTGATTAATAAAAAATTGTAGGTACATATTGTAGTCTGAAAACCAGAAAATCTTTGGACATTATAATGTCATTCCAGTGTCACAAAGTGTGAAACACTTGGAAGTTTTATAACCCTATATTTTAATTTAATCATTTTTGACACCGTGGACATGCTAACACTGCATGCGACGTGACAAATCTTTTAAACTTCAAACGTAAAAGTGACTAAAGCCTAGACTACATTCAGATTTTTGAAATGCAACATGGAGAAGATTTTAAAAGATTACTGTGAATGATTAAAGATTCGAAGATTCTGAAATGAAAGATATTAGTGTTAAGTTTAGTTTAAGCATAAAAGGGGAAGTTTATTAAAAAAATGTTTTTAACTTTTTACATTTTTGTAATTACCATGGTTTAAATTCAACGTAACGTAACGTTTGGTAATTAAAATTATTATTTATGTGTACTCTATAAGATTTATAGTTTACTGTTCTTTTTAAAAAATATTGTACGTTAATTAATTGCAGCTGCGAAGTAGATAACCAGTAATACAGGTTGTAATAAAAAGATTCATTGTCTTTAAAACACGTCAATTTTTGATATAACAACACTTTTGATAGTCGATTCTTATTTTTAACTTCATGTGCAGGAAAAAATTCTTGTAAGAACAAAGTGATGTGTGACAACGTTTGTGCTTCAGTATTTTTGTTGACTAAAAACCACTTTTTTAATTAATTACCACAGAACTCCCAGAAAACCATAGGTATATTTATTTGTATAAATAGTACATACATCGCAGTACCTCTATAAAAAGGCTTAGGTTGTGTTTACAAGAAGGTGGAGACCACTTCCAACACTTTTTGTGTCTTATTTAAGTTTTAATTGTAAAAATAAAATTGTATGTAAAAACAGCATTTCATACACGCTGCAAATTTCCTCATTTTTTTTTCCAACGACGGCTGAATGTATGAATCATTTTTTATAGACATTTATAACACTGTACTTAGAATATTTTTATTTCCATTAACAAACTGATTAAAAACATTTCGAAAATGTTTTCAATAGTTTGTGTTTCAAGCGCTTATTCTCAAATTTCCCATTAAGTGCCAGCAACTTTTTTTTTTTTATGTGACCAATTGTCCATATGACAAAAATAAATCTTTATAATTAATCATTATTATTATTATTATTATTAATTTTGCGTTCGGGCAGAGGCCTAGCCTGTTATGCCCGCGCTGTCTATAAATTAAAATAATGTGGTTCATTGTTGTTATAATTATTTACGCTCATCCCTTTTTATTCTACTCCAAATTCATTCTATTTTCTGTCTAAAATACATCTGCTTCACTGAACACCGTCTTATCTAGTAGGACATAATCAATAATCTCATTCGCTACCAAGCTGTATGTATTTTATCCGTTTGTCTCTTCTTTTTATTGCCATTAAAATCTCCTAACAGAAATCTTATGTCGTTTATCAATATCTTGTCTTTTTGATATACTTTTATTTTTGTAATTTAGGTTTGTTTATTATATTTTAACAAAATAAGTATCGAAAAAAAAACACAAAGCAAATTAGTTATAAACATTTATAATAAATAGTTTACGTCCTTTTATTAAGGTGTACATAATACTTTATGAAAAATACACCCGTTTTCGTCCACATGTACTAAATATGTAAAAGGAAAAATACAGAATGATATATAAAGCAATACATCAATAATAATTAACCTATAACATTTTATAATAGTTACCTAATATTTTCTAATACTAATAATATACAATATTTTCCAAATACAAAGACTATTTTTTGAACACTTTATAACATAGTGCACATAAACTGCTACATCTAAGCCGCGCCAACACCCATAAAACATTAACCCTCGAGACTCCCATCTCCAGCCTCTTTTACTGCATAGAAAATATCACTGTCTTCATTTGTAACTACACTGTCATAAAACATAATTCACATATCTACTAAAACATGTTAGAAACACTATACATAATATAACAGCTCAACTAAAGTAGTTAATGCGGGCAAAACACCCTCATGCCTTCACTCACAAGAGTCGTATTGATCAGTTGAACTGTAAATTGGAATGGACAATGAGACTCTCTTTTACAGCACTACAACAGCACGAAATTTATGGTGATTAATTGAAGCATCTGTCGGGGTTTTTATTGTCATCTGTGAAATAATGTCAGCGTTTATTATTTTTTTGAGGCATTTCATATTATCAGATTGGTCTGTGTAATGGAAATGGAGCGTGCGTAAATTATTGGAGTGGTTTAAGTTTCTGGGTTAACCCTAAATTTACTTGGACCGGATCTTAGCCGTTTAGTTAATTAGGGTGCGATGAGGATAGAGTTATCATAGTGGTGTAAGTTTTATTCAAATGAGAAAATACATTTGATATTTAAATTTGTTGGCGTGTTTTGTTTGCTTGTTGGGTATTAGTAAAATAAAACGTATCGTGGCCACTGTATAAATAAGCGTAAAAAAGAATATGTTCATTAGGGAATTTAAATTTAAATATACAGGTGTATCGCAAGTAAGTACTTACGTACCGAATTTTACCAACGGATTTTCTGCGCGGGAATAAACCAAAGAGATTAAATAAATGTGCATTTTATTTTTGATAATCAAATTCTTATTGAAACCTAGGATTTACATAACTGCAGTTATAATAGAATTTCAGTACAGATCAAAACTATTTTACAATGAAAATTTCTTGAAAAATTGTTTTATTTAAAAGACGGTATCATTTTTGTGTTGACGACAAATATATCATTATGTACAATGTAACACTAATAATAGCGCCACACAATTCGATTCATGCATTAATTTTAATGAGTTGATGTTTTGTAATCATTAAACCTTTGCTTGTGTCTTAAGGTATTTTATAATAAAATTAACTCATAACAATATACATATAAGATCTACTGAACAAAATTTTACGATGACGTGTTCAGTTTTTTGGAGGGGATGAATAAGTGGACAAACTCGGTTATAGTTTTATTAAAACGTTGAGTACTGCACAGTACAAATGCAATTACAGAGAAGTTTAGGAATTTGCCCTGAATTCTGCATCTTGATTGTCACCTAGTTTATTGAATACTCGATGGAGCGATTGAGCAGTAGAGCAATCGAGCAATCAAGAAATTAGGGGATCGGAGGATTAAGTGATAAAGCAGAAAGCTTAGATATAAAACGGACAGTCAAAGATAAGACGGATACTAGATCGGACATTCTGCTGATTGTAGTAAAATAGTTCTCTTTAATCCCTCTTGTCATTTTGCTTCTAATACCTGCTAGTACTGAACGAAGGAAATAGTTATCAAAGTATTTACCAATTCTATAAGTATCGCTTTCTCAACGAAACTAAAAAGTAAAACATGTAGCGAACGCCTACTGCTTAAAGCTTCGTTTCAAATCACTCATATTCAGTAATGATAATTTTAAGCTTACAACTAAGATAGAAGCGAATTATACTTAAGTATCTACTTGTACTCTTGTGCCGACATGTACCGAGTCAAATTCTTGCAAGCTTTCTATGCTTAAGTACTAAGTAGGCCAATCAGGAAAGAACATCCTGAACATACGCACGATTCGCATACTACTCTGATGCCAGTGATGACTGAGAATTACTCCAAACCCATTTCTTCTTCGTCTTAGTACATCTGGATCTGTTATTGTTCTCTTGCAATAGAGTGGCATTCGCCAAATCATAGATCGTCTTTCGTCTTGCTTTTGTACAGCAAATAAGTCACTTTTACAATAAAGATCTTTCTAAATATAAAATGAGTTTTATTGTATTAAGACCCGATTTATAGAAAGCGAAGTTAAAGTTAATTCGCGATTAACTTTTAATTGAGGTCCGTTGCGAGGCAACGCGCATGTTTTGCCCAATCACGGGCTCATACCCAGTAAACACAGTTACGTCGTAACGATGTTAATGCCACTTAACTCTGTCTACGATCTTGTTAGCTGTTACATCCCAAACTGCGTACATTTGCTTTCCCTGTGCTATGTAATGTAATCAACAGTGACCCATGCTTGTAACATACTGGTGACATCCACACTGTTTCAGACTAGAGACGTGCTCGCTGGTACATCATCATAACGTTGTGTTAGTATGTCGCTAGATTCTCTATATTTTGATGTATCTGTTACGTTTTATTTTAAACGCCAATATAACGTATTAAATGGACATAGACGTTACGTATATATCGCAACATCGTAAACATATGACTCTCAGTATATTTTATTAACATGATCTATGCGATATGAATAGGCATTTCAGAAAATCTAGTTACCATTTAGGGATATGGATATGGAGAGTAAAATTTAGAGCTTACAGTAAATTATTATTTTATTCAATGTTTGAAAAAATATAATATGTAATAAGTAATAAAATATAAAAATTAATATAAATTCATAATATAAATAAATAAATATATATATGATTTCCTAATTCGAAAATAATACAATATAATTTACACCTAAAAAAAGACACAGAAACTATAAACTGTCGTTGTTTTTTCTTTCTTCAGGCGTTGACTAGAATGCCGTAGCCACTCTGAGCAGTGTTGTTCTACTTCTTTTTCTATTGCGGAATGGGTCTTCATTGTAATTTCTTCAAAAATAAAAATTGTAATAATTATATTTATTGCAAAAAAAAAATACCTTTCATAATA